GTCGCAGCGTTCTGAGGCAATATAGCAGGCATACGAAGGGGTAATAGACGGGGTGACGGAGAGGGTGATGAACACACCATTGTGGACAGATTATGGCGTATTAGAATCATTTTTGTTATTTGTGCAGGGAGAGGGGGTCGCCACGATGGGGACGGGAATGGTGGCGGAGTAGGAGAGGACATAGGGGGTAGCCCCGATGATTGAGGAGGTGGTGGTGCCTGAGGCAGAGGGGTGGCCCAATGATGGAGAAGGTGGCGGTGCCTAGGACGGAGGGGTGGTTTCGATGACTGAGGAGATAGAAAGCCCACTGGCAGAGGGAAGGAGGTCCCAGAGGCACACGATGTGCCTAGGACGGAGGGGTGACCTCAATTACGGAGGAGATGGCAAGCCCAGGATGGAGGGGGTGGCAAATGAGGAGAGGACGCCAGTCGTAACAGAGGGTAAGAAGCGTGTTGTTGACCTACCGGAGGAGGTGGTCGGCAAGAGACGGAGATTGCCATCACAATGTCGTTTATCCCTTTTGGGAAGTGAACCATGCCAAATGGAAGGCATTCGAGATAGAGCAATGAAGAATTATACCTAGGTAAGTATTTTATTATTTTAGTGAAGTACGCTATGTTAACTCATCTATACTTCTTTTCACAATTTTTTTTCTTTTTTTAGAGCTGGCCATAGGATATCTGAAAGGACGATCACTGAAACCTATAAGTGACATCACGACTTTGAGTGCTTGCTTAGTTGTCAGACCCAACCCAGACACTGACTCGGACAATGCAGCGGGTCAGTGGGTCGATCGGTGACCCAGTGGTTGGACCGACGGGTCAATGCTTGTTAATATATTATTACTGTTGATTGAATAATAAAATTTTGACATTTTCTAATACTAACTTAATCAGCCTTATGTAATTTAGGTGACTAATGATCAATTTTTATTTCAATCTTCAACAAATTAAAAATCCCGTATAATGAAATACGGATTTGAAGCAATAAACAACCACCAA